TGACAGTTCGGACTCCAGCCGTCGCTCACTGTCAGACGCGGGCAGGAAGCGGCTGTCCAGCTTCCCGTCCCGGCAGCGGCGGATGGGCCCAGCGCCCCTAGCCTCATTCGAGGACCTCAGCATGGATAAGACAACGTCTGACTCCAGCCCTGAGGAACGCACACATCTCCCAGATATCGGCGAAGAGACATCTACAGCGACCACACCAGTAACGCCCGTGGCCAAGACGGCCCTCAGCGTCCCGGCCTCCCCAAGAATTCGCGTCTCAGCAGCGTCGTCGTCGTCGCCGCACGAGACAGATTCCAAGGAGTCCACCCCCGAGAAAGAACTGTTTTCGGGTTACGCCAAGTCCGGCTTCTGCGAAGACATGGCGGCGGATCTGCATTCCAGCACGGAGGAGCTGGATGCCGACGAGGAGGAGCAGCAGCGCAAGCGGAGGGACCGCGCCTGCAAGCTGGCGGAGCTGGAGCGACGGGAGGAGGCTCTTCGCACGGCGGATCTCAACCGCAAAGGATCCTCGTCCTCGGTGCTCAGCGATGGCCTCCTGCCCGTCACCAGCGGCCACTCCAGCAGGCTCTCCTCCTTAGGCTCTATAGGCTCTGCGAGACGATCACCCTCGCCTCACAAGATGCTTTTAGAAACCTCCTTTTGTGGCAGTCGACCCATCCAGCAGCCCAGCATTGACCTGGAAGATCCCCCAGTCACCACCACAAAAATCATGAATTTCACCGTAGAGAAAATTGAGCGAGTCAAGTCGCCCATGGAAGCGCGGCCTCCTGACATCTTCCGCTCGTCGCCATCGACCGTCCTTCCCCAGAGGCAGGAGGACATCATCATGGCGGTGGAGGCCATCCCCGCCTCAGAATTCCAGCCAAGCAAGTCCGAAATCCTGATGGCTGTGCCGCCTCCCAGGAAGCAAGTGGAGGCACAGACGGCACCCAAGAAGCTAGATGCTGTGAGAGACTCGCAGGACAACACTGCCAAACCCAGATCCCCCAGAGAGCAAAAATCAACGCAACCACCCAAGTCGCCTCAAGCAGTACAAGCCACCAAGCAAGCACAGCAGGAGAAGCAAGCGGACCAACTGGAACCACAACAACAACGACAACCGCTGTCATCACCCCGCTCACCACGATCGCCAAGAATGCCCAAGAAGGTTCCTGTGCCCCAGGTTCCTGATCTGAAGGACCTCCCGAAGACGTCTCCAACTCCTTCTGCATCCTCATCAGCCGCAGTCACTGCCACGACTCCCGAGCACCCGAACGCGCGCTCCTTCTCCACCACTCCCACGGCGTCCCCAAGAGCCTCCAGAAGACGGCGGACGAGAGGAGAAGACATGGAAAGCGGGTCTTCCTCTCCCTCAGTCTCAAGAAAAAGTTCCTTTTCGAATCTTTTCCGAAAATCGGACGCTGTCATGAGCCCTGTCACGCCTGACTCTCCAGGATCTAGTGGACGCAAAAGTCCTTTCAGTCAGTTCATCAAATCGGCTAAGAAAGAGTTCCGGTCCAGGAGCAGGTCGAGAAGCCGGAGTAAGAGCCGGGAGAGAGAACTGGAGGATGACACCCATGACAGGAGGGGGGTGCTGTCCATTTTCAGGCCCAAGACGAAGAAGAAAGACTCGGAGAAGACCACAAAAGGCAGTGAGAAAAGCATTTCTTCCTCTGACGCTAAGCTCAATGAAGCCATCACAAATGTTGAGTTTACTTTTAACGATGACGGTAAATACCAGCCCTCGTCCTTCGGACTTATCAGACAGGAGAGCGAAATGAGCAGAGCCATCAAAGAGCCCCTGAGAGGAGTCCCGCCGCCGTCGGAGGGAGAACCCGAGGCGCCGAAGCAGGACATGATCTCCTCCAGGGACAGCTCCTACAATGAACTTTCCTCCATCATGAGTCCGGACGGAAAACCTGCCGAAAAGGCCGCACCTCCAGAGACCAAAGACGTTTCAGAGAAGGACAAGAGAGAGCAAATAGACGACGATGATGTCTTTGAAAAGCCCGCCGAGGTCAAGCCAACGATACCCTCTCCGTCAATAGACCGGGCTCAGAAAGAGAAGAAGTCTGAAGAACCTGTGCTCGAGAAGCCGCACTTGCCGCCGAAGCAGAAGGACCGGCCAGAGGAGCTGACTGTTGCTGCGCCCGACCAATACGATGCCGACTCACGATCCGAGTCCGAGCGCGAGTCTGAAATCGAGTACCTGAAGACCAAAGCCAAGCAGCAGCAGGCAGCAGAATCTGGCGTTCCTTTAGACTCCCCCGACGTGGAGAACAAAGGCTTAGTCTCTCAGGACTCCGGCGAGGACGGAGAATTGCCATACGTGCCCACAACGCTACCCACAGAACGTCCTCTTGCAGCGCCCATCATTCCTGTGAAGGAGCGGCCTCCGCACCTCCGCACAACACAGTCCATCGACCGCCCTCGCAGCACCACGCCCCTCATCACAGGTCTTTTGGAGGAGTACAAACAAGTAGCGGGGACGCCGGAAGGGGAGCCGGAGAAG